ATTCTATTTCTTTCACATTAAGTACTGTACTAGTAAATATGTGAAATGACAAACTCACTTTGAAGGTTGGCTTTCATACACATCAGTATTAAGTTTAGATCAAAAGTTACCTCAAGGTGCATTTACTGTTAACATGACTCGATCAAACAGATTAGAGGAAAGAAGAGAAAAGATCGAACTGACAAAGAACTAATGAAGATGGTACAAAGGTGGGCGCCAAGATCCCTCTGGGATCTCTTGTTAGCTCATCTGATCGCAAAGGCCAAGAAAGGTTATGTCATTGTGCGGCGTCTGTTGTCCAACTGTCCGTCCGTCCGTTCGACAATTTTAAACAATTTATGAATGACTCATAGGCCTAAGTAATTATTTGGCCATATGGATGCTGGGAAGAAGGGCGATCATATTTGTTTAAATAAATGACAGTGTCATAACCATGTTTATCGGCATATGGCCCGCTAAACATCATCGGGGCGAAATACACTACGATTATCTTCATTTTGTTTGCCCGCTGACTATCACATTTAGTTATATCGAAATAACTATATAAGCCAAAGAATATCGTTATTTCGCCTCTAAGACCTTTAAAGGTTTTGATGATTATATTTCCGAATCAACCTAAAGTTTTGTTCCTCATGTATTGTCTCAGTATATCCATATTTTTAACAAGTTCAGTCCTTAAACGCTGGGTACATGTACGTACTACAGTTTTAATATATATTTGTTACATGTTTTTCGTTGTATATTATATTTGATTTGAAAAGATATATTATATAAAACTGTATTAACAGCGTTTAAGGGATGAACTTGTTAAAAAATATGGATATTTGGCGTCTTTCCGTCCCGCTAATTATCGTCTTACAAATAAGAAACAAACTTTACACACTAGAGAGGGGGAGATAACTCGATATGTTTCTGAAAGCTACATTATGATTACACACTGGGGCAGGTTTCGATCAATAGATAATAACAAGTTTTTTTGGTTTTTTTTTATATTGTATCGTTTAACAACAACCTACACGGTGAACAACCAGGCATGGACCAGATATAATAGTTATTTTAAAAATGTACGTAATGAAACGTTATGATGTAAATGTTATATACCACCACGGACTTAGATAACAATCTAATTCCGTGATACCACTAGCAATGATATATTAATGGCATTCGATATTTTTCCTCACACTATCGCAAAATAGTGTGATCTGTCTTATTTGTGAATAAAATGTAGTTATTGCATAAAATAAGTTATTATAACATGTTGTTGATATTGTGGGAATTAGTACGTCCAATGACATTCAAACGTGAGAAAGACTCAGATTTTGTTCGGAATGTCTCGGCGCTTTTCGAAAAACGGAAGTGACGTTCTCCATAGCAACAAAACTTGGTTACGGCATTATTTGGGATTGGGTGCATTGAGTAGATTTATTTAGTAAAGATTAGTGTTCAAACCGCAACAAATAATGGCTTGTAACGAGGAACAAGAGGTAAATATGGTTTGATAAGGTGTTTAATGGGAATTTTAAACGTTTATTGATCGTTCAATCTGAATTGTCATAATATATTTCGTGTTATTATTGTGCGACGACTGTGGTAACATTGGCACTGCCATTCATATATATACATGTTATTGAATGTCTATATTGCAAAAAAAAGTATTACCGAACTCTCGAATTTGATATGACAACCGTTTTGTTCCATTTAGGCCTATGGTATAAAACACGGCCAGGTTATTTTGAAGTAATAACAATTTTACCTTACTACCTTAGAACCCGGGCCCCGTCATGATCTATCCCATTGCAATATAAATAGTTCTGTTTGGTTTCCTATTGTTTAGATTGACACTGGACTGTATAAATGTTTCCCATTATTTAGATTGACACTGGACTGTACAAATAACCAAGAAAAAATTGAAAGAAATTAATTCGGATGCGTTGCATATTATACATTAAAGATACAAATGATAATATAACTTTATAAGTTTATAGTATATTTTCATGAAGTATACTGTTTTTTTCATTACTGACAGAATTGTCACTTTGATATTTCATTTTACTATTTTTAATCTTCAGAAGGTACAGAAAATGGGACCAGGTGGCGTACCCGAGGGATCTCAGACTGCTGCATTCTACAGAACAGACAACATCCCTACACGCTTTGATAACCCAGGTTTGTATGCTGCTTTTAGCCTTTTATTAAGAATTTGAAAATGAAATAATAAGAAATGGACACTTTCTTTTATTAGTGATAATTGGCAATCTATTCTTGCCACATTCCCATCCTTGCCACAGCACAACTATCTTTGTCAAATAGTAAAATAGGTATGCTGGTCAAAAAAAATGTGGTTAAAAACAGAATCACTTCTTCTGTAGTTGGCAAAGAAAGAAAATATCCATATGTGATTACGCTATACAACATGTGATGCCCTGGTGAAAATAGGTTGCAAACCAGTACTGTAGCTTAATGTACATATGGAAATTGTTTTTTGCATGAAAGCTACCAACAGTTAGTTATCAGACTAGTGGAATTGTAACCATTTAAAGGAATATTTTGAACTGCACTTAGGTAACATTTTCCTAAAGATATAACTTAAATGTATGTAAATGGTGGGTTGTCAGTTTGTGCTGGGTATAATAACAGGGATATACCTGGAGGGGGTCAGAGTGCCATTGATTCCTCAAAACTGAAATTGACCCCAGCATGTTCCAATTTTCTTTTAATTTTGCTTAGAATGACCACTTTTAATTTTGATATTGACTAAAATTGCTGAAAATGGCCTACTGCTATTAAATTCCAGGATTTCCCCTGTAATAATATTAAAACATGGGTCCTCTTCAAGTAAATAAGATCCTCCTGTATATACATGTAGTTTGAATTGGATTAATGAAAAGTAGCATTTTATCTATTTTCAATTTATATTTTTCAAAAGATACAGACAGGGATGGTTTTATTGTACATAATAAATGATGATTGTTATATATGCAAACAATGATTATCATGCAATCATTATCTCCCTTTACTTCAGACTGGTTCCAGGGATACGGAGGTAAAGATCAACACCCTATGTACAGGACTACCTCCTGTACTTACGGAGCCAAGCCACCCTCTGTTCACACCATGCCAACCTCATTTCACTGCAGATCACAAAAGTTCTCGGAGGTAAATACAAATATCTTGCACATCAAAAAACGTTTTTGACGGATACACGTGCATGTCTCTACATTTTGGAGAATCTGATCATTTTATCTGAACTTTGGGAGAATCTGATCATTTTATCTGAAATTTGGGAGAATCTGATCATTTTATCTGAACTTTGGGAGATTCTGATTAATTTATCTGAACTTTCGGAAAATCTGATCATTTTATCTGAACTTTGGAAGATTCTGATCATTTTATCTGAACTTTGGGAGAATATGATGATTTGATTTGAACTTTTAGGTGTTTTTTGTATATTTGAACTACTTTTAAAAATTTTACAATGATAAAATAAAGCGATCGAGGAAAATGTGCTCCTTAAAAAGACCCTTTTCAGAATTTTAAATATTTATAAAATTCATAATTCATATATAGAGACTTTGAGAAACCTAGAATGCAATTGTAGCAGTAATAGATCTTCACAAAGTCACATTAATTCCTTAAAATTTTGTTTCTCTGTTCCGATATTGATGGTTCATTGCCATGTCTACATATTTATCCTTTTTTACAGCATCTTGGCAAATGCGGAATGTACAGAAACCACTCCCTCAACACCAACTCGGACATCAGTCGTGTGTAGCCTTACCCGGCAACAAAATACGAATCACATGTAGATTGAACTGTATGGATTTTACACAACTTAACCACCTACTGGACGGAAACATACAATATTATAAAGAAACACAACCATTTGAAAGGAATTAAAAATTCAGACTTTTTATAAGTTGAAAGTATTTGTTAAGAAGTAGAGGTTAGATAAGGCTAAGGTCTAGGACACTTTACAAAACAACTCAATAGAATACCACTGATGTGTCGAGGTTTATAATTTGCCTTTGTTACTGTGAACATGAAATGTATGAAGAGTGTTAGGTTTGAATGAAGCTAGGTTCTCTTGCTCTGACTTTAAGCTGTATGATAGAAACACAATCTGGAGGCTCTAATGCCATTTGTTAAGGGTATGCAAAGCTACTACAGATCTTTCATGTAAATACCAATAGAAGTTTGAATAACAGACAATATGAAATATCTAGGAGTGGAGCACTTTACAGTCTTAAATCAGCAATTTAGAACTATGGTCAAAATGTCAGAAAGAATTTGTTATATTTGTGACACAAACACATTTAAGTATATATTTAATTCTTCTCATTTCTATTTGTACATAAAAAGCTCTATACAGTTTTGTTTTATAAAATGTCATGGCTTTTATCATGCAACCTATGAATAAATATATATGTGGAAAATATATTTCAACATGGTATAGTTATTAATATAATTACTCGAATTTCCAAGCAATTTTTCTGTATCCTACCTACATAAGGCAATAATTACTTCGCTGAGGTTGGGCACTTCTATATATGTATATTGGTAATAGTCCTGCATTTGGGTAGCAGGTACCGTTTTGAGCATGAATTTAGTACTGAATATGGAATAAAGTGCAATAAAAACACAAAGTTCTTATTAATTACTAGGAGCAAAAAGGATGTTATTCTTTCAACAAAATCCAATAGAAAACACAATAATCGACATGATGAAAAAGAATGATAAAGTACATTTGTACATTGTATGCACGCCATTTGCAAGAACATAAACAAATTTTAAGTTGGAATTGTCTTCTGATGCTGTTTGAACTCGTGAATTCATCATTTGTAGACAAAACGGTTCGCTTGACCATGGACTATCTTAGATAGATGGTCTAATTCCGTGGCTTGACCGTGTTTTAAGACTTCAACATTGTAAATATGACTGAACATTTCAAGATTTAAAGGTATTGATCCAATTTCGGTACCAATTTGATTTGGGCCGTTCTTTGCATTGCCTCTATAAGTAATGCAAGTAAAACACTTCAACAATTATGACTTTACTGTGGTGTAAACACAGCTACATTGTATAATGTTGAACACAATATTTCTTGCAATGAGCTAATATGTAATATAACATGACCATCAGAACAATGTGAACATGTTATGAAGTTGGACAGGTGACGGGTGTCACACCACCAACCTGCACCCAACGAAAAGGTTAAAACCTCACAAGCTTTAAAAGGTTCGACTGTCCTGCTGCTGTTGTTGCAGATTTTGATGTTACACAAATATTCATGTATAGACGACTGGTGAAAATTACTTGGACAGAAATAAAGTTCAACAATTTATTATGACAGAAAACAATTTTAAATATTTACAGACAAGTGGTGGCCAAAGTGGGTTTAAGCTCCTAACATTAAATATTTGTACTTAGCAAGATGTATACCACGTGGCATCCTCAATACAAACCTGATTAAAATCATCTGTTACATGGCTCTGTTAATTGCATAAAATTACAGGCATGCAGCTAGCTATATGATTGGCCTGGGATTAAAAAACAAGATGCCCAGAGGGTCTGTATTGCTCACCTGTTTCTTTTGTTACATTAAACTGACACATAGGTAGCTTCAGACCAAATTTGGTAACTAGAACAAGACATTTTAAAATCTCTTAAACGCTTCTTAAGATATTGTTGATTGAAATTTGAAATTTGAATTTTAAAGCTTTTACCAACATTGACCTTTGACTACTGACTACCACTTGGAAGTTGACACAGGTGGTCTACATAACATACCCAAGTATCATGACTCTTAGACCAAATGGTTCTTTAGATATTTTTGTTAGAAGTTTTAGCATACACTGTATTTGACTCCTGAGTTGACCTTGAACCTCATTACTGTAATAAGGAAAATCATTTGGACTGCTGGTCTTCATAACACTGAACATACCCAAGCATCATGACTCAAGTCCAAATGGTTCTCAGGATACTGTTGTTTGAAGTTTATAACATATCTGACCCCTGTGACCTTGAAAGAAGGTCAATGTCATTTTAATGAGGAAACTTTATAGCACTCCATCCCAGGTACCTACTGGCCAAATTGCATTACCCTGGACCGTATGGAACTTGAGAAGAAGATTGTTAAAGCTTTTAACCCACGTTGACCTTTAATCCCTGACTAGCACTTACAGTTGACCTTTAACTTTATTATTGTAATAAGGAAAAACATTTGAACTGCTGGTCTGCATAATATACCCCAGCATCATGACTTTAGACCAAACGGTTCATAGGTAATTGTTGTTTAAAATGTTAAACATTTTGACCCATGTGACCTTGAAAGTAAGTCAATGCCATTTCAATGAGGACACTTTATAGCACTCCATCCCAGGTACCTACTGGTCAAATATCATTACCCTGGGCCGTATGGAACTTGAGAAGAAGATTATTATTTTTTTTTACAATATATTGAGCTTTGACCCCGGCTAGCACTTCAATGTTGAACTTTGTCTCATTACCATAATAAAGAAAAAGATTTGGACTGCTGGTCTGCATTACATATCCAAGTATCATGATTCTTGTCCTTATGGTCATTGAACTATTGTTATTCGATTTTTTTAACATATTTGACCCGTGACCTTGAAAGTAGGTCAAGGTCATTTTAATGAGGAAGATTCATAGCACTCCATCCCATCTACCTACTGGTCAAATGCCGTGATCCAGAGGAGCAACACCCGACTTCAAAGCCAATGAATTTTACCGTTACGCAACTGACATATTCTTTTGATGTACATCAAATGATCAAGTTACTAGTTTTCTAGACTCGTCCCCCAAGGTGGTGCACGTGCACTGAGCCTTAAATTTATATGCCATGGGCGCAGCGAAAGTGACAGTAATTACCCCTGGTGTATTTTCAGCGTTACAGCGGCCCCGCTACCAACAATCAACTGCTCAAAACGAAGCTAAACCCGACATTTTACGTAGAAGTTGTTCGTTTATGAAATAAGGTTGGATCAAAGACATATAAAGGCAGTAGTATATTACACGTCTCTGGTCCTCGAAATCTGATGTTGTTTTCAGGCAAGCCTTGACAAAGCCTTACATGGTCTCCATGAAAATTTGCAGGTCTGCCATGCTTTATACCCGAAAATGATACATTTAAAAAACGAACAGGCCCCATGGCATCATATTACTAGGTCTGGCCTTATTTCATAAACGAACAACTCTGTTTGGATCACGATAAACGCGGAATGCGGCCAGCACAATGTGATTTGAACATCACCAAAACAATGATAACAAGAGATCGTAGCCATTAGAACAATATATAAAGTAGAGGCCATCTGAACAATTATACCGAAGACCATTTAAGCGCTTTGGACTTCAGAGACATCAGAATTAACCCGAATTAGTCTTTAGATATCATCTTTAAAACAGTTCAGTGTTTAGAGACCATATCAGAACAAAACAAACAGAAAAAACACAGGAGAAAGGCAAACGCGGCCCGGAATGTGATTGAACTTTTGACAATTTTTTTCTGGGTAGACTTTCACTGATGAACATATGTCTATTAGTCAATGTCAAGGGATCCTAAAATGTATACCAAAACAAGGGAAATAAAAACTGTATTTTAAAAAACTGGAGACCAATTAATTTATTGAATGTCGATTATAAAATTGCTGCTGCTTCTATTGCAAATAGAATTAAACCTTCTTTAACAGATATTATAAGTCAAAGTCAAGCAGGTTTTGTAAAAGGTCGATATATTGGTGAGTGTACAAGAATTATAAATGATATAACAAAATCTAATGACAATAACTTGCCTGGTATTTTATTAATGTTGGACTTCGAGAAAGATTTCGATTTCCTTGAGTGGCCATTCATAGAAAGAAGTCTATCTTTCTTTGGGTTTAGCAATTTGATCATAAACTGCTTCAAAAATGTATACTCCAATTTTACGTCAGCTGTCGAGAACAATGGCCACCTAACCATTTCTTTCAATGTAACCCGTGGTGTACGACAAGGGGACCCCCTTTCTCCGCATATTTTTTATTATATGTATTGAACCTGTGAGCTCTGCCCTAATATTAAAGGGATAATAATAAATAACACTGAGTATTTAATTAGTCAATATGCTGATGACTCAACACTTATATTGGATGATGACAAGCAATCATTAGAGAGGGGTCTGTGCTTGATCGACATCTTTGGAGGATGTTCCGGTTTAAAAACAAACTTTGAAAAAACCCAATCTGTATGGATTGGGACAAAAAGGGGTTGCGGTGAGGAAATTGAAACGAGACATAGAATAGCTTGGAACCACCATGGCAAATTTAAACGTTTAGGAATTTCCTATGATTTATCAAAAGACTGTTTTGAAGACAACTTTATAGAAAAGTTTCAATCAGTTGAAGCACTTCTCACTAACTGGTCATTTAGGAATCTTTCAATTATAGGTAAGGTAACCGTGATTAAAACTTTAGCCTTTCCAATCATAGTTCAAGTATTAACAGTCATTGCTTGTCCAGAGTCGAAGTTATTAACAAAATTTCAGTCTCTATTTTATAATTTTATCTGGAACAGCAAAGTTGACAAACTGAAAAGGATTTTTTTAACAGGCGATTATAAGGATGGAGGTCTAAAATGTCCAGATATTTTTTCTTACAGTAAAGCTTTAAAACGTATATGGATAAAAAAAACTGTCTGGATGTCAATAATCAATCAGATTGTAAAAAAAATATTAATAGATGATATAGAAAACTTTGGAGGGGATAAGTTTTGGACCTTAACAAAAACTGGACTATTTGAAGTCTCGCTTCACTCCGCTACTTGAAAAACCGACACAACTCAAATATTCAATTTGCCGCTAGCTCGCCGTGAGGACGTAGGCGATGGGCGTTTAATCAGACATTAAACAATAAGATAGCATATACATATATACCAAGCAATGGACATTTATAACATAAACACTTGCACGTCACAAACTTTTCAGTACTCTGCGAAAAATACAGAACCCCTATTGAAAAACGTACATGTCTCAGAGATTCCCCTTCATCGAGATCAACTCGCTCGCTCAGAAAAAACCGGAGATAACCTCCGGAAATCTGCGTCCAGAGGCGGGACAACTGTTATTTCCCTGCAGGATATCTCTCAAGGGTGACACCCGGAAACCAATGTCATACTCTGTACGTTATTTAAAAAGCAAAATATTTATATACCACAAATACAAGCATTAAAAACGCCTAAAAATAATAAAACCCCATAAACTCCCCGCATTTACTACATGCGACCTATAAACATATACAATGTACCCTGTGCTTACATCCCCATCCAAAGTTTGATGTGAACCGCGCGTCCCGAATAGGCGACTAGAAATGACCCTATATCCCGTGCTCACCTGTCTCGTGGACACGTGACAGCACTCGCCGCTCGTGCTCCAACTAGCAAACGAGTGCCGCACGAGACAAATAATCCCCGATATTACTCTGAACCGCGGGGATATTTGAGTATCAAAACACAGATATTTAGGTATCTCTTGGAAGGAAATTATACAGATATGGGGGTCTCTTACCGAGGACCTCTACGCAGCCCCTGAGCATATTCTCTCTCAGCCCTTATGGTTCAACTCTAACATAAAGATATATTTTTTTTTTATATATTTTTCAAACATTTATGTCACGAGGGTATTTTCTACATTAAGGACTTAGTAGCTCATGGTAATCTCTTGACATATAATCAGTTTGTAGAAAAATCATATCAAATCACTTTGAACTTTATGAATTACAATAGCCTTATTCCGTCTTTGCGTATTGCAGAGTTATCTTCTCTTGGGAGCAGGTATTGATTGTTACGTCATTGGTTTGTGCGAGAAAATTACGTCGTTTTCTCAAAAATTGATGACGTTACTCTCACAAACAAGTGACGTAACAACCAATACCTGCTCCCAAGAGAAGAAAACTCTGCAATACGCAAAGACGGAATTAGAGGCTGGAAGAGAGTAATTCACTTATATGGGGAAAACATTGAAACAATTATACATGAAAATCTGAAAAAGCTCAGAAATAGCGAAAAACCTCGGTTTTTCTACAGGAAAATTGTGTCTACATTAATAGCAAATCCAGTGAAGTCCCAGAAAGGTGGCATGTTCTATTAGACATTTCTCTAAATAATAATAAATGGAAGCAGGTATATTCTTTACCATTTATTGAGACAAAAGATTCAAAATTGCAAAGTCTGCAATATAGAATCATTCACAGATTTTTTTTTCTCCAACTCTATGTTGTTAAAACGAAAGCTGCTAGAGAGCGGTGAATGCAGTTTCTGTAGTGGGGCATCAGAAACAATATACCACCTTTTCTGTGACTGTGTACATAGCCAGTCATTGTGGATATGTCTGATCAACTCAGTCTTTTTTAAAATCAGTATGATGTTGTTATAGAAAAAAACTGACTTTTTCCTATTTGGGGTTATTGAAGATGTGAAACAGTACAAACAATTACCTGAGTGGGAAACTTGTAAAAAAATTATGAGGAACCATATAGAAATTTAGATCTGTATTCAGTTTACAAACTGACCCCGAATGCAGCAAGAAAGACCAGGCAGAAATGGGAAAGTGTCAAGTAAATCCTTGAATATTTTTTTTATTTGAACCAACTTCTGAACACATATAACTCAAGTATAAAGTACATAAACATGCATATTTTGTGTAATAACTATTACTTATGGCAGGGATGTGTAATCCCTGCTTATGGACAATACTGCAAGTATGTGTAATGTTGATGTATGTGAAATATGCAAAATGTATATGAAAATGACTGTTTCAAATGATTGATACAGGAAAAAATTAAATAAAAAAATAACAAAAATGTTTTGCTGCCCATATGCTGCTAGTATTTCCAAAGCACAGATCAAATCTCCGAGAAATCTGTCGACATTTCATTAACGTAGCCCTCTGGCACAGACACCAAACTAAGACATTTTGACAGAAAACGTTACTAGTGCAGGCAAATTCGCCATGCACCCAAACTCGCCAACCGGTGACGAAAATGCCATATGACGTCATGATCATAATACATAAAATGTGACGTACAAGTCACCATAGTCTTCAACACAGTTAAAGCCTTCAAACATTTTGACAATAAGAGGCATAAGAAGGGAAAAGTTATTTTATTATTCACAACAGTTATGAAATATCTTGTAACGCAACGATTCTTAAAAATTTGGTCTGTGCTCGGGATGGGGATAAACACCCGAGACAGAGCGTCCCTGGTTGTTGTCATAGTAGAGTGCATTTTTTTGTCGGGTCGGATTTTATGCTATATCGATTTGGCGCTTGCAGAGGTAGAGGGTTACCGAAAGGAATTCGAAGTAAACATTGGGCAATATTATATCCTTCTTTGTCAATCTACAACACTTATAATTATTGAAATCACTGACTGCCACTAACCCATCTTTTAGACGTTTTTAAAAGTTATGGATTCTTAGAGAACAGGTATGAAAATATTCGTTATGACAAAGTAGTATGCATGTGATTGAGTCGTCACAGCACAGGGACTTGACAGAACTGTGGCATCCAGTGGGTTCCGGGTTGTTTCGCCCTAGCTAGGTTGTTTCGCCCTAAAACATTTTTTTTTTAGGGCGAAACATTGTTTGATATTTTCTTTGAATTCTAGTAGTTTTAAGTCACAAATTAAGTCTTCTTTATCTTCCATTAAATTCAAATAAATTTTATAAAAAGGAATGTGTTTCTTTTGATTTCTCAACACTCACACAGTTGCGTATTTTTCTACATAAAGTATATCTAACAACAATAATAGAAAGTTATCAATAAGTTTAGTTGATATATTTACATATCAATTATTATATATTAGCGTATTTTTTTATTTATTTTTTGGGCGAAACAACCTCGGGTGAACAGGATTAAGGGCGAAACAACCCTTAACTTGCGCCAACATGATTTAGGGCGAAACAACCAGGGCTACATTCGCGTATCCCAGTTGAAACGGTACGTGTGGCCCGGAAATTTTCCACGATAAACGAACGTACTTGGACCGCACAGCTAAAAATGCACAGTTTCGGAGAATAAAAAAATGTATCGAGAATATTATGCCCTTCTTTAACGCGTCCACTGAATTACATCACGTATCTTATAAACTACATGTGTCTTTACATTGTTTAAGAAAGAAATAATGCAAATTGGCAATAGTCAGCATATTTTAGTTTCGGTCAGGTACGTCACCCTCCGAAAATACATTGGTTTTAAGGGGCGCGGGTGATATTGCCATGAGACAGTGAAAAATATCACATGCGCAAAAAATGTGCGTGCACCGCTTCGTTTCCCCACCGTGATGGTCACAAGAACGTTTGACGGCAACAGCCAATTTCATCAGGCGCCGGTGCGATAGCGATTGTAAACAGCAGACTATCAACAAACAAGATGTCATTATCGAGGTTTGCTGCCGTTTCTGAGCTACATTGACGTTTGGTGTAACAAAATAGATATTACATTCATTAGCAGGTGACAGTGAATTTTGTCAATGGTTTTCTCGGGTTGACAATATTCTCTGTCACCTGCTAATGAATGTAATATTTATATACTGTTAATTAATTGCATGTGATACCGTCAAGATTGCAAAAAAAAGAAAAAAAAGGAAAATGGGCGCTGTACTCAACCACGTGGGAGTCACATAATTTAGTTAAGCAGTCGAAGAAAATTGCTGTGCAGATAAAAAAGTTCCAATTCTTGTTAGTGGTATGGGGATCCATCATAATTATAACCACCCCCTTGAGATATGGTAGGTTCACCCAAAATAGCAACCCCTGATAATGAAGTTAATATATAGTCAATAATAAGGTGTAGGCCTGATGTTTTTTGGGTTTGTGGCATTGTTTAGAACTATTACAACAATAAAAAAAAAATGAAAGGAAGCTAGGCTAATCGACCCTACAAATATTTTATTAATCACAAAATATATCAAACACATTTAATAAAGTGTTTTTAAATTGAAATTGTATGGATATAAGTAATTTTCTACAAGCTTAAAGCAATCAGGACATATATTTTAATACAAAAAGAGCGAATAATTTAACAAAATATATACAATGGCCTTATTATCAATCTATTTTACACTATACAATCATTTTGATCCTTATAAGAGTTATCTTCCTTGAAGGAATCGGAATGTTTTGCAGGGGGTTACACAATTACAGTTATCTCCCTTTACATATATCAAAAACGAAAAAAAAATACCAACATTTAAAAACAATTTATTGGTCGATATGTAAACATGGGCCTCCATTCCACACCCGGCTAATTCATGGTGATACATGTCTGTTTTTTTGTCAGGTACATGTAACAAGAAGCTATCTCATGGTATGCTGTTCTCATATGTACCCACACATGTGTTTTCATAGTGATCTTGATATTTAACAAAGCACTATTTTCACAGTTACTGCACTACTTTTGTAAGAATGATTTACTCGACAAAGCGTGACTCGCTCAACAGCAATAATGGTAATGACCTCAAGCTTGTGAATTAATTAAATTAGTTCATGCGCTTCATATATGACCCTCTTGAAGTTGTATGTTCTCATGTCAGTGTGTTCCTGTGAGTCAATATGTGTCTTTGTATCGGAATCTTCATGTTCAAAGTTCAAAGTTTGTGTGATTACACATTTCTCAAAGAAATCTCAATATCAGGTGTCGACATATCATCGTCACGCATGTGTTCTATTGTTTACCCAGTGTTACTATAATTTACACTACCGCATTGACATGTCCGATACGCAATATAGAAATAACGACACAAAAGTACGACAAGAGAAACATATGTATTACGAAGGGCGGGAAGTCCTTAATACCTTATTACTGACTACTTTAACCACCAGCTCGTTTTGTACCATTTTTATATCTAATGTACAAGTTCAGTATACTTCAATTTATAACTTCAATTAAAGATGATAGGTTTTCTGACTATATACTCCTTCAAAAATGCAAAAAATAAATGTTTTCTCAACATGTGTATTTCTTTTCAGATTTAATGATATCATTGGACCTAACCTACACCACAATGACGGAAAAGGGAGAGATGCTGAGGAAACATTGTCTCTGTTTTATTGCTACCACCCTAGCATGTATTCCATTGACAGGTGGAGCTCCTGGTGAGTTAGATGTAAAATACTCTGTATGTTTAAACAAAATGTTCTCTGTATAATACAGTCAACTTGTGGTCAATGTACAATTTATTATCATGGCTCCTTTTAAACTGTATTGCTAGAAATTCTATGAGTCCTTTCAAAATGCGATGAGTAAAGGACTCAGGACTGATCCTCAGAAAAAATAGGGTAGATAGCTAGGTATACTAGGTAGGCAGTTTGTTTTTATTTTGGAGAATATCTTTACTTTGCTTATACTGAGTGGGAGTTCTAACTGTAACAACTTGCATATCGATAAATGTCAATAAAAACTTAAGGCTAGGCACAGTTTAAAATAATTAACTTTTGTCAATTCTTTGTTAGTTCTTGATCAGGACCTAGTTACTACAATCTTCAACAAATTGAGTTTGTTTAAACTTAAGGGTATAATATGCTACCTCACTGTGACATGTAACTCAATCCCAAAAGAGTTTTACTTTAAGAATGTAATGTAGGAATGATAATTTGGATTGAGTTAATTAGCTGATGACACCTTAAATAAGGTATACAAAAATGTTTTTATACCACTTGGGTAATTCTCAGTTAGGTGTGGTAAACCATTCAGCACAAAATTTTAGTAAATATTTTTGGTGTTTTTGATGCTTAAATTTAAAGTTTTGATGAGAATATATTGCCATGATTGTTTAAATATCCAAGTCAGTAATACAGGCCCTCTTGGCCTTTTGTTGATTTTGCGCTTTTTCACCAGTGGAAAGATTGTTGAAGGATCATTAAGTGTAAATCTATTTGTATGTATAAACATGAAAAAAACAAACTTTTCCGCCTTTGTAAATGAGATAAAGATAACTAAGATGTAAAATATATTACTTCAGTTTTTAGGTCACCTGTACTGCTCAGGTGATCTATTGCAATTGCCTGTCTGGCATCAATATGAGTAGTGCATAGAAAACAATCAAATTTTCAAATTTTCTTCAGAAACTGTTTCTCACGTTTTGAAGAATCTTTTGGGTATTCATCAGCCTGTGTTCAAGTGGGGATCAGAAGCAGCTGACGCTTCACGGGGTTGAGGTACAGGGCCCTAAGGTGTCATAGAGAGCCAAACTCCAAATGATTTCTCCTCTGAGACTAACCACTGAATCATACCATAAATCTTTAATCAAGAAGAGGCTGATCATACCATAAATCTTTACTCAAGAAGAGGCTGACCCTCAGGGGGCTGAGGGATAGGGTTGTAAAGGGTCACAGAGTACATAGTCTTCAAACAACATCTCCTCTGAAAGTAACGTTTTAGGATTTAGCCAGAGTTTCTTAAAAATCATCATAAGGTGATGAAGATCGGAATCTATTCTCAAGACGGGGTCGAACATTTCCCCTCACCCTCAGGGGCTTGGGGACATGGCCGTATTATCAGAAGTCACTAACTGACTTAGTGCAACATCTTCAAATGACATTAGCTTCTCTGAACGTTGCTGGTGCATTAATTTAGACCAACATTAAGACAAAGTTTCAAAACACACTCATGCATTATTCAATTTATCTGAAATCTTGTTGAGAATTATTGGACTGTCAAGATTTTTGAAGGGTCATCAAGTGTAAAGCTATTTGTAACATGTATAAACATGAAAAAACTTATCTTTTCTGCCTTTGTTTATGAGATGAGATAAAGTTAAACTATGATGTAAAATATGGTGGGGATCAGAATCAATGCAATTAAGAAACAGCTGGCTCTTCATGGGGTTAAGGTACAGGGCAAATTAAGACAAAGTTTCAAAACACACTCATGCATTATTCAATTTATCTGAAATCTTGTTGAGAATTATTGGACTGCAACTCTGAACGGAACATATCACATAGGATTCTCAAAATTCCAGGGTTGCGTTCTTTTATGTTCTCTGCACCCCTAAAACATGTCATGATAAAATCAAAGGCACACGGTTAGTTATCTAATTTGTTTCCGATATAAAAAAAAAATGGCCATTCACCAAGCTGATGTGTCTTCCTTTAAGATTAAAGAAGAAAACAACTACTTCAAGTCGGTCAATTTTACTGTGTAATGCTTTTGATTTTACCATCATTTGCATCAAAGGATCAAACTTGTTTCCTTGTGTCATCGATACAAGATAGCCTTGGATTTTGTCATGACATGAGCTCAGGGATTGTCACATAGTAATCTGTAACATTCTTGCGCCATTTCTGGCTGTATTCTGTAGAGACAGACAGGCAACGTTAGCCACTGTCAGGCCTATAAAAGCTAAAATAAGAGTGTTTATAAATACAAGCATGTTACTAGAGCTATGTTAGGGGGATTGGAAACTTGCTCTTTCTTCCAACAACTTGTTATCATGTCGCGTATGAGATAACTACCTTGGTTCAAGCTGAGATGAAGCTAGCAACCGCCAGCAATGGCTTCATTATCACACAGCTGAACATGAGAAGTGGTGTGAAAACTATCACTGTAATAAACTTCCTCTTTTGTCTTTCGTTTGTATTGTTGCTAAAAGCAGTGTTTAATTTATCACAGGGACCTGAGAGTTTGTTACAGTTGGTTATATGTTTAGACCAATCCTTGGTAATGTTTGACCTGTTAAATGCTAAGATTAACACTTGTTAATTAATGCCAAATATGATGGTATACTACGCTGTTGTGACATATACAGCTGCTGTAACAAATATGCAGTTCCATGTGCACCTGTCACTCGCCATGTGTGAACAGATGAGAAGACTAAATTCAGAAACAGTAATTATACATAGGATTACTGTCACCTTCTAGCCTTGTGCTTAAGGGAACCTGTAGGTACCTGGGATGGAGTGCTATAAAGTTTCCTCATTAAAATTACCTTGACCTAGTTTCAAGGTCACACTGGGTCAAATATGTGAAAAGTTTCAAACAACAACATCCTAAGAACCATTTGGATTAGAGTCATGATACTTCGGTATGTTATCTAGACTAGCTGTGTGAATCTTTTTCTTTATTACAGTAATCAGGTCACAGGTCAACTTAAAGTGCTAGTTAGGGGGTCAAAGGTCAAGGCGGGTTAAATGCTTTAAAATCATAATTTCAAAATTTAAACAAAAATATCTTGAGAAGCGTTTAAGAGATGTTAAAATGTCTTGTGTTCTAGTTACCAGATTTGGTCTAAAGTTACCTATATGTCAGTGTCATGTAACAAAAGAAACAGGTGAGCGATACAGGCCCTCAGGGTCTCTTGTTTAGAATTCTTTTTTAGACGAAAACGAATCTGACAGCCAGATTTAGCATTTTCCATAATTGCAAACAGAGTTTGTGCAGAAAAAATAATCTCATCTTCCTAACATATTGGGTTAACATATTGTAAAAGGTTTTAATTACATCATGTTGCCTCTTCCGCATTGCTGCATCAAAGATTTCCAAATTTGTGACGTCACCTCATTTTTGAGCCATTGTGACGTCACATCACATGAAATGGGGTGTAAAATTATTAGAATCTATCATCCCATAGGGGGAAGATTTTTAAGTTTCCAAACACGAGGCTTTGCCAAATGTTTGGCAACTTAAGAATCTTTCCCCTAGGGTTGAGATTCTCCTATCTCACCCACAAGGGGGTGAATGATTCTTTTTCTCTTACCTTTTTCACCCATCGTATATCATATACATAATGTGATGTTAATGTCAAAGGCTAAATTCAGGGTTGACTTGACGTTGATGGATTGTTGACGTGACGTCATTGCATTGTTGAAGTGATGTCATACCATTGTAATGAATAGGGGAATCTCCCGTCTCAACCCTAGGGTGAGACAAGGAAATTACACACTGGTAAAAGTGAGGATACACTGGTTCAATCCACCGATGGAAGCATGCAATGCCAGTTTTCTCTTTCCTGTTACAATATTTCATCTAATTGATCTTATCTATAGTATCACAGGAATTGATGTCTCAATCTATTGTCATTTCTTTGTTATTTGCCAAGTGCTTTTAACAGCAGGCAGTTTTTATGATAAAAATATGAAATATCACTCGGTTATCAACCACCTTATTCATGAAATAATGAAATGATCTTTAAGAATCATTAGCACTAGAAAGCGGGGTAATTTTCACCCATAGCAAGTGCTAATCTTTATGGCAGCTAGATAATTATAATGATGGACTTGTGTTATTTTGTTTCGAAAATGAGCTTCACTTTTCACCATTCAAATAGAGCGACAACGGGGAGTTCAGTGGATGCTAAATTGATACTATCGTACAGGAGTGAACGAAATCAAGCTTATACCAGGTAGCTACAGCTATCAATTGGGACCTTTGATGATTTCATACAGTTTAATGGAAAAAAATAAAGGTTGATTCAGCAGTATATCGTTCTCATTGGGCGAAGTTTCCGATTCCACAAGTGATTTAAAAATAAATTCCATGCAGTGTAATCTTTTGATGTACTGTAAATTAAGCCAGTGTCTAAGCTAATGTCCAGAAAACAGTATTCCCCAGTACGGCGTTGTCACTTAATAGCCCTACCTAATGCAGATGGCATTCATATAGGATGTGAATGTCATATCAACACAGTTCAGTGCTGAACAGGATGAATTTTGTCGACATGATCATGGTCTTTGACTTATAATTAGTTCTGTAGTGTTTTACCAATTGCTTTAATATTAATCTGGCTTTTGAGCGTTGTATCTTGGCTCTGCCTCCATAACTGGTGAAGTCGTGTTTATACAATGTACTTAATATTACCCAATTTTCTAGTATTGAAGAACACATCTATAATGCTTTTACTGAAAATGTGTTGTAATGACTTAACTTTGTGTTATGTGTTTTAGTGAGAGACTCCTCTGTGTGTTGTAATGACTTCACTTTGTGTTATGTGTTTTAGTGAGAGACTCCTCTGTGTGTTGTAATGTCTTCACTTTGTGTTATATGTTTTAGTGAGAGACTCCACTGTGTGTTGTAATGACTTCACTTTGTGTTATGTGTTTTAGTGAGTGACTCCATCGTGTGTTGTAATGACTTAACTTTGTGTTATGTGTTTTAGCGAGAGACTCCTCTGTGTGTTGTAATGACTTCACTTTGTGTTATGTGTTTTAGTGAGCGACTCCACCGTGTGTTGTAATGACTAAACTTTGTGTTATGTGTTTTAGTGAGCGACTCCACCGTGTGTTGTAATGACTAAACTTTGTGTTATGTGTTTTAGTGAGCGACTCCACCGTGTGCTGTAATGACTTAACTTTGTGTTATGTGTTTTAGTGAGCGACTCCACCGTGTGTTTAATGACTTCACTTTGTGTTATGTGTTTTAGTGAGTGACTCCATCGTGTGTTGTAATGACTTAACTTTGTGTTATGTGTTTTAGTGAGAGACTCCTCTGTGTGTTGTAATGTCTTCACTTTGTGTTATATGTTTTAGTGAGAGACTCCACTATGTGTTGTAATGACTTCACTTTGTGTTATATGTTTTAGTGAGAGACTCCACTGTGTGTTGTAATGACTTCACTTTGTGTTACGTGTTTTAGTGAGCAACTCCACCGTGTGCTGTAATGACTTAACTTTGTGTTATGTGTTTTAGTGAGAGATTCCTCTGTGTGTTGTAATGACTTCACTTTGTGTTATGTGTTTTAGTGAGTGACTCCACCGTGTGTTGTAATGACTTCACTTTTTGTTATGTGTTTTAGTGAGTGAATCCACCGTGTGTTTAATGACTTCACTTTGTGTTATGTGTTTTAGAGAGCGACTCCACCGTGTGTTTAATGACTTTAGTTTGTGTTATGTGTTTTAGTGAGTGACTCCACCTTGTGTTGTAATGACTAAACTTTGTGTTTTGTGTTTTAGTGAGTGACTACACCGTGTGTTGTAATGACTTCACTTTTTGTTATGTGTTTTAGTGAGAGAATCCACCGGGTGTTTAATGACTTAACTTTGTGTTATGCGTTTTAGTGAGCGACTCCACCGTGTGTTGTAATGACTTCACTTTTTGTTATGTGTTTTAGTGAGCGACTCCACCGTGGGTTGTAATGACTTCACTTTGTGTTATATGTTTTAGTGAGTGACTCCACCGTGTGTTTAATGACTTTAGTTTGTGTTATGTGTTTTAGTGAGTGACTCCACCTGTGTGTTGTAATGACTTCACTTTGTGTTATATGTTTTAGTGAGAGACTCCACTATGTGTTGTAATGACTTCACTTTGTGTTATATGTTTTAGTGAGTGACTCCACCGTGTGTTTAATGACTTAACTTTGTGTTATGCGTTTTAGTGAGCGACTCCACCGTGTGTTTAATGACTTAATTTTGTGTTATGTGTTTTAGTGAGTGACTCCACCGTGTGTTTAATGACTTTATTTTGTGTTATGTGTTTTAGTGAGCGACCCCACCGTGTGTTGTAATGACTTCTCTTTGTGTTATGTGTTTTAGTGAGTGACTCCACCGTGTGTTTAATGACTTTATTTTGTGTTATGTGTTTTAGTGAGTGACTCCACCTTGTGTTGTAATGACTAAACTTTGTGTTTTGTGTTTTAGTGAGTGACTCCTCCGTGTGTTGTAATGACTTCACTTTTTGTTATGTGTTTTAGTGAGAGAATCCACCGTGTGTTTAATGACTTAACTTTGTGTTATGCGTTTAAGTGATTGAATCCACCGTGTGTTTAATGACTCAACTTTGTGTTATGTGTTTTAGTGAGCAACTCCACCGTGTGTTGTAATGACTTCCCTTTGTGTTATGTGTTTTAGTGAGCAACTACACCGTGTGTTGTAATGACTTCACTTTGGGTTATATGTTTTAGTGAGAGACTCCACTATGTGTTGTAATGACTTCACTTTGTGTTATATGTTTTAGTGAGAGACTCCACTATGTGTTGTAATGACTTCACTTTGTGTTCCGTGTTTTAGTGAGCAACTCCACCGTGTGTTGTAATGACTTCCCTTTGTGTTATGTGTTTTAGTGAGCGACCCCACCGTGTGTTGTAATGACTTCTCTTTGTGTTATGTGTTTTAGTGAGTGACTCCACCTGTGTGTTGTAATGACTTCACTTTGGGTTATATGTTTTAGTGAGAGACTCCACTATGTGTTGTAATGACTTCACTTTGTGTTATATGTTTTAGTGAGTGACTCCACCGTGTGTTGTAATGACTTAACTTTGTGTTATGTGTTTAAG